ATGCAACATGGGAAACATCAGATAATCTCACTCATTGTGTAGACATCCTTCAAGCCTACAATCTCAAGAACATCATCAATCAATCAACAGACGAACCTTCCAAGTCCAAGTCCAAGACTAAGTCCAAGTCAAGCAAGTCTACCTCTAAGAAGAAGAGGTGAGTGTGACGACTTGTCACATACGATTCACGATGTGTCACCATGACTCATACATTCTATCATTGCTGAGTCATCATCCTGGAATCTACAGAACACTATTCCATGTTCCATCTAATCAGTATATATACATCATTCATAATACACTAATAAAGCGGGCATTCTATACATTATACAGTTATACATATATATATATCTATATTTGTTATAGATGCTTGATTTGATCAATGTCAAGTTGGTGTTCTTGCCAACCTATAGCCCTGAGCTCAACATCATCGAACTGTTGTTCGCGATGATGAAGAGAGAGTGCCGAGATAAGAACAGAACTGCATCCTTCCTCGACACAATCAAAAACGCGTTCAACAAGTATTCTAGCGATCCTACTACAATACTCAACTGGTGTCACAAGTGCTACAATAGATAATAAACAGTGCCCGTAAAGCAAAGCTATTTCAATCAATATCTATTATCCATTACCTCACTTGAAACATCCAATATCATTGAATGAATGAATGAATGAATGAATGAAAGCCTCGATCACCCTACCATATGAGTGAACTTCCAAATTAATTTGAAAAATTCCAAATAATCGAAATGAAATTAAATACACAACGACTTGAACTAACTGGACAATATATATATCTTGTACCCAAACTGTGTTTAGGATTCAGGATAATGAGTGCAGTACAGATCATAGACCCGTGGGGGTCTGGGGGTTCCCCCAGACTTGTGGGTGACGGTTGTCTTCGGTATCCATTTTTTGATCTGGTCCGGTTCCGGTGCGGTTGGCAAAGTCACCGGTTGATAGTATTCGGTCGAAAAGGGTCTCGGTCGTAACCGTACCACCGGATTCCGTACTCTGATTAATACAAAGGATCATGATGGACTACGACAGCGACAACGACAATACCCCACAAGAATCCCCAGTGATGCCATCTTCACTATCACTTCGCTCCGATGCTTTGTTCATACACTATGATAACACACAGATCAATGCACAGACAGGTACATTCAAGACTGATCTACCAATGCATATGATGGGTCTAGATGATCACTTTGTGCTGCGCCACTTGTCCATTCGTAGACCGGACTCGGAGTATATCCTCAAGACAGCCCCACGTTTGCCTTGCACAGTCTGCTTGTCTCTCGGGTCCTCAATCATACCAATGGTCGACCAGTTTCTCGATTCGATGTATGGTGGAGGTGGAATTGATTTGGATGTCGCTCGTAACTCACATGCGATTGCATTCATCCCCATGATCAGCGATGGTGGTGGGGATCAACGATACAACATCTACAACAGCCGACCTGTATTCTTTAAGAATATACCACAAACACTCACAGAGTTGGACATCAAGATCTCGACAGTGAACGGCCCATTGCCAGGATCATTCATTGTAGAGCTACACTTTGAAGCTGGATCAACAATCACAACAATAAAGAAGAAGAAGGCATACATCTAAGCTCATTCTACTCACCATTTACTAAGCCATTCAAACACATTTTCTTAATCAACAACGTTTCCACTTACAGGAACTCACTTATTGGACAGACATAGACAACATCAACCAACAACATCAACAACAATGGCATCTAAAGAAACAGAGCAGGCAAATGAGAAGTTCAACAAGGAGTTTGAGAACATCATTATTAAGAACGACCTTGGTGAGCCTGTAACCCAGTCCTTGGGTGGTCAGCCATTTGTTCCAACTCGATATGATAGCCGTGACTACAAGTACGAAGAGAAGATACAGATCGCCAAGGATCTACGACCAGCTGGTGTAAAGATTTTTGGTGAGAACGTGCCCGAGTCTTTCTATCAGTATGGATTGGAAGCAAAGAAAGCCCACGAGAAGGCACAGTTTGATAGATACATACTCGGTAGTTTGGACCCCAACAACCCAGCACAGATACAGAAAGTGTTCAGTTATTTCCCGGAGCTAGTCAACGAACCAAAGAAGTATTTCGAAGAGAAACTAAAGGTACTGCAGAGGATCTTCAATCTAAAGTTGACGGGTCCACAATCAAGGGAAGACTACGAATTCATGTTTGCAGTAGACAGTGGAATCATTGACATTGGACAATATCAGGACCTGGTTCAGTGGAAGCCACCCGGAATCAAAGTCAATCCATCAAATGGTATCACAACAGTAGATCATACACGCACGCGTCACGGTGCAGGAATTGGATTCATGGCCCCCCAAGATACTCAAAGATATGATTGGTCTGGTGGACTAACGCTTAAGAGTATGCTAAATGGTAGGACTATGGATGGTGAAATACCGGCAGTAGGATCCAGAGTGACCAAACCCCTCAGCGTGAGGCAGTGGTTGAATGAACAGAAAGACGGCGGAGGGCAGGTTACACAGAAAGCTGGATGGGGTGATTGGAGTAAATAAACCATCAAGTGTATCCAGTAACCAATCACTCTACTAAGTACCCTTACTAGATTTCTAAAAAAGATAATAGATAACATACAGATAATCCAATCATTCATACAACAATCACAAAAACAAAAATGACAACAAGTCAGCAAGCAATCGAACCAAATGACATAGTTCTCCCGTTCATCTACCCCGACACACTCAAGAACGGCTTGACAGTAGTTGGAGCCACACAACTGCTGGTCTCAAAGTACTTGTCATACTTGGCCAACATTATAATGACGAGAGCAATCAAGATGAACCGACAAGACATACTCGGAAAAGTTGGCGATTCAATATCCCTACTTCTACACCCACTTGACCAAGGTGCACCACTATCCATTGAGAACATACCCACCATCATTCACAACTCATGTACTTCTGCATACCGAGCAACGACCGGCGGTGTGTTTGCGGTATGGGACAAGTGGCATCAATTGATCAAGAGGATGGTACCAGCAAACAACAACGAAACAGATCAGGCAGACCACACGGTCAACAATCCCCAGGAGTTGCGGGTGGCATATCACAAGATGTTGAATGGATTCAAGGCCGTCCTTCACGACCAACCAGTGATAATACCGGTGCACGTGGAACAGAGACAAGCCTGGTTGGACTTCGTTGACTTTGTTATACTGTGTTTGGATGATGAGCATTCACTTCCAGGAAGTTGGTTGTTCAATTGGACCAAGGAATTCGCCTCACACTTCAACACAGTGATGGAGACTGTCAACTCTCAATACTCACAACAGCAGCAAATACAACAATAAAAAGTGAAGTGGTCCCCAGATCATTTTCATTTCATAATCTACTCATACTTATACAAATAACAAATAATAATATATGCTTATCATCTCAATCGATCCGGGTACAGTCAACCTCGGATACTATGTTGGTCGAGTAGGCTATTGTCGTGGGGGAGAATGTGACGAGAATAGAGTAGAACACATACAATGGGGCACCATTGACTTGGCGAAGAGAGTCGAAGGTAAAGCCAAACCAAGCAGCACCGATATATGTAAAGTAATCCTAGACGAGTTCATACCAAGCTTGCCCACCGATGAACACATCCTAGTCCTAGTGGAGAGCCAAATGTACAGCCGCATGCAGTTGGTCGCACACACCTTCTGGACCTACTACTACCCACGATGTGTGATGGTGTCGCCACGTGGAGTGAAACACAGACTAGGCCCACTCGAGACTTGTGGAGGTCACGATCAGAACAAGAAGCAGATGGTTGATCTGATGCTCGAGCGTAGATACATTGATGTCAAAGGTTTCAGTAAGGATCACATGTCGATACTTCACAATGCTGTTGATGCATACGCGATGGCATTGGACTATTGGCTGACAAACAATTATCTAAAGACATACAATGTGACTTCACTGTCACTTCCTCTACGAACAGAGATATAAAACAACACAACAACAACAACAACAACAAAGCGACAACCCGTTGATCAATATCAGAGAACAAACAAACAAATGGGATTCTTTTCAAGTCTAGGAAGCAAGATATCTGGTTTCTTCAATCAGACCAAGACGGCAGTGGCTGGCATTCTCAATGGTGGTGTCAGTGCCGTTAAGCAGGTGTACACGGACATTGTCAAGCCAACTGCACAGATACCGGCAAACTTGGTCAATGGAGCACTCTCCACTGTGAAGACTGTCGTGGCAGACGGTGGCCAGGTGATCAACAAACTGGCCGGTGGCGCCGTGAAGGCGGTCGATGATGTTGCCGGTGGTGTAGGCAAGGCAGTGACCGCAGTTGGTGGTGGTGTAGGTGGCTTCGCGAGTGAGACTGGTAAGGGTATAGAGTGGGCCCTTCCCATTGCTGCCATCGCAGTTGCTGCCATGATTATTCTTAAATGATAAGATTAACTAACACCAGCAACCACAACAAATCACAACCACATATAACAAACAACAATGGACACAATTCAACACATCGACAATGTCACTGCAACGAGTCGCGGTGTGTCTGTCACTGGTCAACAAAGACGGCGACCCAAGATGAGACACTCCAACTTCCTACTGACTGTCAACACACAGAAACGACCCACAAGTGATGAGGAGGCAGAACACTACGCACAGAGACTAGACACTGCGATGGATACAATCTTCACTCAATCGGAACACTTGGAGAACCTGTTCACACTGACCCCAGGCAAGGCGACATCGGATGGAGAGAGTCCAACAATACATCGATTGGACACAACATTCGCCGTCGAGGTTGGTAAGAAGGCACAAGGTGGACGTGTTCACAGTCACGCCGTTATTGAAGTTGACCACAACACACACATCAGACTGAACATGGACTACATCAGACAGATACTACCACCAATGATTGGTGTTGACAAGATCTATGCCAACGTCCGCTATGTCAAGGGTATGGGTGAGGTTAAAGACTACATCGAGAAGGATCAAGCAATGGCTGATGACAACGACGAGATAGAAGAATAAATAACTAACAAGTTCTCAATCCCATGATCTTTGTGTGTGTGTGTCATTCTGTTCGTTCATAACCAACCAAGATGAGTTTCAAACACAGAGTGCACTCAGTCGATGAGTTCATCAAACCAGCTCAGGATTTGATAGAGAAGATAAGAGAACAGCGCAATCATTTGAACGAGACAGTTATAACGGCAACAGAAGAGACATCAGATAAACGATGGTTGGGAGACACAGGTGTTGCTTCTCAGATTGACAAACTGACCAAGACTATCAAGGTACCAGTGCTAGATGATGCACAACGGAACCAGGAATTGAAGACGTTTCTCCAGACAACTGCACTCTCAATGGTCACCACACTGAGACAGAAGAAGAAAGAGGTCGACAATAAGTTAGTTACTGCTGCGAACATTCTCATTGATAACACAAGCCTCGCACCACTCCTACCCGAGAGTACCATTAGGGAGTACAATGATGCACTCGCTACTGTAAGTGGACTCAGTGTTGCTGATGTCAATGACCTCAATACGTACATTGAACAGATCAAAAAGGAACACGTTGCCATCGCCGAATCAATAAAGATGCTGGACAAGGTGATTGAACAGGACGCAAACAATAACGATAACAAGATCTTAAACAAACTCACAGGCCTGGGATTGAACTACCGAATAGTGGACTACGACAGAGGAATCATCGAGCTCATTGACATCAGAAACATCAGGCAACCAATGGCAGGTGCAGTATACTCATCGACCGTCCAACAAATTATGACTGTGATAGATGATAAGATCACAATCGAGTACAATAACTACCAATCCAAGATGAAGGAGGTGGAGGATATAGTTCGCAAACGTTTGGCAGTGGAGATACGACAAGAGATTGCAGAGGCCAAACAGAAAGAGGACAAGAGAGTGGAGGAGAATGAAAACAAACTACGCCTACAAGATGAAGAGGCAGATGCGATTAGATTGAAGGAAGAGAATGAACGCGAGCAGCAGCGACAACGTGACATTGCACCAATTGTAGTGGATGAAGCCGTCAAGGAACAACCACCACAACCACAACAACAACAACCGGTTGATGATGAAATAATGCAGCAAGTACATCAGGAACTACCACAACCACAACCACAACAACAGGTAGAGGACGAAGTGATGCAACGAGTACTTCAGGAAGAACAACCAAATCCTGTAGTGTCGTTCCAACACCATCCCGATGTTCCCCTCCTAACCACAGCAAACAAACCAACGCGGGCGCGTGCTGATACAGTGCCAAAGAAGAATGTCATCCCCAGCAAGGGCGCGAAGAAGAAGAAGAAGTCCATACTAACTACTCCCACTACTACCGACGACAACATCAAACCACAGCAGGTGCAGGGGCTACCCACCACTTCGATAATGAAAGGAGACGCACAACAACCTCATTTCACGAAAGCGGTGATAAAGGATGTCGAAGAAGTCGATAAGAAGAAGAGGAAGAGATCTGATAAAGATATTGATGGTGTGAAGTTCATTACAGATACAATCGCCAAAGAAGAGAAATACAGGTCGAAGCCGGGAGTTCGTCGCGTTAAGACTACACATTAAATAAATTTGTGTCTGTCATATTTATTGTTGTCGCTCATTAGCATCAACCACTGGATCTGTCTGATAGAATCGTTGACTCTGCTCAGTAACCTTGTGTTCCTGTTGCTGTTGCTGCTGTTGGCGGAATCTCAACACAGGTGTTGGCATCCAGATTCCCCATACTCCTGCGAGTAGAGACAACCACGTGGTGTATGGTTGATTGTTGACCACAGAGTACACAATCATGCCAATAGCAAATGCAGCCATCATCAGTGATAGTGCACATGACATTGGATTGACATACTTGTCGTATGCTATTGGTGATGTAGTCTGTGATGTGGGTGAGGACATTGGCAGGGTGATGCCGCCATTGCTACTGCTACTGTCGTCTGCGACTGACATCCCTAGAGGGCCAATACTTAGTGTAGTACGTCCATTGACTGGTGATATAGTAGTTGTTGAGTTGCTAGAGAGAGATGTAGTAGTCTTTCTTGTTGTTGTGTCTGCAACCAATGTCTGGTGTTGAGTTGTGTTTGTGGTTGTCGGTGTGACTATTTTTTTCATTTCCATTTTTCGAAATAGTTAACGGTCTATTAGTTTGAATTTGAAAATTTGAATTTGAATCTATTAAATCTAAAGGCGCCTCTTTTGGTTGTGTGTTAGTCTTTGATACATTCACCTATCCATTTCACACAGCTCAACTTAATTAGAAAAATCAATGAGTGACTCATCAACCACACTAGAACAATCTCACATCGATACAACAACACCACAACACGAACAACCATCATCATCTTCAGTCAATTCAATAGTTGATAATGTAAACAAATCACTAATCGGTAAGGACCAGAAGAAGATTCCTCGTGTACCAATCAAACTAAAGTCTGTTGTCAAGGTTAAGAGATCTGGCTACGAATTCAATCATGGGCATCAACGATTCCCTACCGATGCAGATGGGGATGATGACAGAGAGGGTAGCAGTGATGAACAACGCGGCGAACATCAGGCACCAAAGTCATTGCCGCAATGGCAACCTTCAGGGTATAAGGCCGATGCTACAACAGTCATTATTGGTAAGAGACGAGCGGGTAAGTCATACTTTGCTCGTTGGTTGGCGTATTACATAGGTCATCTCTATCCTGTTGTCTATGTCATGACAAAGACCAAGAGCAATCACTGGTGGTCACAGTGTGTCTCTGACAGCTACATCTTCGAAGGTTGGCAGCCACACATCGTCGCCGAGCTAATGAAGCGCAATGAGAAGATACTCTCGGTGAGGGGCATGTCCAAGCACGTGGATCCCAACATCTTACTGATACTGGATGACATCATTGGTGAGGACTCTTTCAAGAATGATCACGTACTCAAGGACATATTCACATTGGGTAGGCATAAACGCATCGGTCTGATTGTACTAACACAGGATGTGTTTGGTATAAGTACAGTGGCTCGTGGCAACTGTGACTATGTCGTAAGTACACTACAGATGCAGAATAGACAGAGAGAGGCCATCGCCAAAGACTATGGTGACATTATACATAGACAGAGCTTCTACGACATGATGGACGACAACACACGGGACAACTCGATGCTTGTCATTGATCTATCACTGAACACACCAGACCCCTCCAAGGTCTTCTTCACTGCCAAGGCCAACAACCCTGGACCATTCAGACTTGGTGATGACAAGTGTTGGTCTGCCAATGAGAAGCAGTTGCAACAGGTGAAGGACATCAGTGATAACAGTGTGCGATTGGAGAGTGGTTGGGACACAGCCGAGGACCAGAAGCAGAGACGTGCCGCTGGTGGTGGCAATGATGATCCAAACAAACAACAACAATCAAAAGACACAGAGATGGTTCAAGTGAAGCAGGCGACAAAGAAGAGGAGTAGGAAGAATCTGGAGAAGCATAATAATCCCCATCTCGATGATGTGGTGGTTGGTGGTGGAGGTGTGATGAGGGACAAGGCGACAGTTTCACCAGCGGCAGCAACAACAAAACGTATAAGAATGGACAGTGCCGTGTAGATTCAATCATTCTATAATCATGGCCATTGGATACGTACAGAGATATACACAAACCAACCATACACTAGTACACGGACCCAGACGTGACATGCGATTGAGGATGAGACGGCAACTACCAAAACAACAATCACAACCAACGATCACAATAACAATAGACAACCAAACAGACACCGTCATTAGATACATATGGATGGACATGGACACCAATCACACACTACCACCACCCTACGTCGTGTTAAGCAAACCAACACAATACAGAGCTGAGCCACGAACCAGGAAGACAGTTGAACTTGTCAAACATGATTCTCCAGTGTATGTGCTTGTCAGTACCGATCACGAACCAGCCGATGAACGATACAGAGTGATCATGCACAGGAAGATTGAAATGAAGAACAGACAGAACAGAACAATCAATCCCCAGCCTTTGGATGCAGAGGTCATTGACGTTGATGCACCAGAAGAAGCCGAGTTGGTCCCACTACTGCCACCTCCACAGCCACGTGAATTCACAATCAATGTCAAGATCAACAAAGGCTTTGACAGACGATTCTATTGTGAATCAATGTACGAGTCTATCTGTGTCGACTTTTAAACAATAAATTATTGAATTCAAATGACATTGAGTGTGATTTGATTGGTTGAAGTAGACAGATGCGTTGTCTTTGGCTTCCGATCGTCGTTCGATCGCTGCGCCCTGCTCCGCTCCTCCTCCTCCTACAGCATGCGAACATTTAACTCTAACCTTGTCAAACAATTATCACTTTTGCGTTTTGGCACATACGTAGTTTTAGTGGTGATGTTGAGTCCAGGATTCACCACTAACACCTTGGTTCGCAACAGATACTCAGTGTAACTCTTGTTTATATTCCTCGCTGGAACCTTCTCTGGATGTTCAATGAATTGAACCACCTTGTTATATATAAACTGCCATACTTCTTCGTCGTAGTTAACACGGGCAATCCAAAGCAACTCTCCAGAGACATAGCTAACGTAGTCACACCACTTGGCGCCAGAGAATGCCATGTTGGCGTACAGTTGTGGTAGGTAGTGAAGAGGGATGGATGCCGCTTTGACCAGGGCATCTGGTTTGCGACCATTCTTTAGTGGTGCGTTGGCACATGCCGCGAATGGACACTTGACCTCCAACACTCCTTCCAACACAACAGCACTACCTGGATTCTTTGGAGAGTCAACGTACAAGACACCATCTGGGGAGGCAGCGAATCGTGGGTCAACTGCATACTGATACATGCCCTTCTCATACACCTTGTTGCCAGTCTTCTCTTCATACGCACGTCTGGCATTTGGTTCCTCTCGCTTGCCGTGTTCCATTGCCAGTTTTGAGAATGGAGAGAACTGTCGTTTCTCTAGACCCATGAAGATCCGTGCCGCTTGGTGTTGACTCGTGTATGGTGAGATACCCATGTACTCTGCCAACACTGATCCAGTGGCCTTGAAACGTTTGCGTTCTTCTAACCATTCATCTGAACCTTGTTTAATGTCTGTGAGTGATAGTGAGAATGGCAACGTTGTTGTTGTTGTTGGTGGAGGTGTAGGTAGGGGTGTTGGTTGTGATACTGGTGTGATGGCATTGACAATTGAATCCACAGTCTTGGTAATTGCATCCACTGTCTTTGTTGTTATTACAGTTGCTGTTGCTGTTGATGATGCTAAAATCATTGTTTTTTTGATCTGATTGAAGTTCATAACGTTTTATTGATGTGCTATTCCTATTACTACTATTACAACTATGTTGATGAATGAGAATGAATCAATCAATCATCCCTTTGTAAGACATCTGATGGGATACGCACTACCAAGTCCCTACCACCACATAGTTTGGATCGGCATCGGTAGCCAAACCACCCACCGGACACTGACAGGTACACATAGTTGTTGTTCTTAGAATGCAATCGGCGTTGAAACACACAGTAGCGCATGTAGTTTGAAGCCAGTAGATACTCTCCTTCTCTCTTCGCCACACACTTGACGAATAGTACCTTGATTCCATGATTGCCTTGCTTCTGGTAGTCTTGCCTGATGTACTCCTGGCAACGTTGGATCGTTTTGTAGTGTGACACTGGTATGTTGGGTTGTGGCACCAACGACGACGACGACTCGGATGACCAAGACCAATCGGATGATCTGGACGATGATGAAGATGCAGACGAAGAATCGGATGATGATACCGATGACGATGATGATGAGAGCTTTCCACGACCGTGTGTTGTATTATCATCGAAGAATGGTGATGTGATGATCTCTCTGTTCATATCCTCTGTTGGTTGTGGTGGACAAACCAATGATCTCGTGAACTCTTGATACTGTGCAACGACGTGCATCGTTCCTGCCTCCTTGGTGTTGAGCGTAGTGCTTAGCTTGGACCACACCGGTTTGCCGTACTTATGGCTGCCCAACAGTCTGAAGTTGCGATTCTTTGTGTAGATGCTCCTATCGATGTAGTTCACCTCCTGGTGTGTGTGTCTGTGATCCATAAGATAATTATCGATCCAGTGAATGATGTGACCACTGTTCTTGAATCGAACATCGACGCGACGGGGTGCCCAGATGATGTGACAACTGTACTTCTCTGGTGTGTCTGAGTAGAGTATCATGAAGTCATCGGGATGAACATGGCCCTCCAACATTGGAAATGCATTGACGATGGCATAACCTATACACTCCAAAAGGATGGGGATTGTTGTCTCATCTGCCTCTAGAGGATGCTCAACACCAGGGGCCTTGTACTCGACGTCAAAATGGAGTCGACATGGTGTGTTCTCCACGATGAGTTCATAGAAGTTCATGTACTGCCCAAAGTTCATGTCATCCTTGTCTTGATAGTTAATATTATTTAGTAACTCTTGTAGATTACCATAGTATGAGGAGAAGGCCTCGTGACATGGTGCTGTGAAGAACTCTCGTGCACCATTAGACGTTGGTAACTCGCGTGAGAAGATAACACCATCTCCACCTCTCGTTTCATTTAAAGCAGGTTCCTGTTTACTATGACGTTTGATGCCTGCCGCCAACTGTGTACAATGGATAAGATACAAAAGACGATTCTTGTCCACTGTTTCTTTGTTGTTGTTATTATTCATTCTTGTGTGTGTTTGATTAATTTCAATTAAAATTAAATTGATCAGTTCAAAGGTCCCTCACTTAATCAAATATTCATTCTCACAAACACTCAGTCAGCTCATAGATATATATTAATTATTAATGATGTAACGTGACAATGATATCACATTAGTTTGAGGAGGAAGGACGGTAATGATAGTGGACAGTCCTCACATCAGTCATTTCCACCTCCTCTTCTATAACAATAACAACTACTACTACTACTTATTACTATCCCTTCTACAATAATATGACCAAACCTTTCATTATCAACAGATCATGTACTATTAGACCTGTGCCGACACGACGCACGGGCCCACTCACTTTGGTCTTCATCACCGGTATCATTGGATCTGGTAAGACATGGCTGTTCAACCAATTGGTTGAGTTGTACAGGACCGCAAGTATATTCAAGTACCAACAGGTGGAGTTCATTAGTGAACCAATAGAAGACGTCGCGATCCAAGGAATGTTGAAAGAGTTCTACTCGGAAATGGGATCAACTGGGCAACCTAACAAGAATCCAATGAGACTGTCAGCGATGTTCTGTGAACTTCAGCGATGGTTTATCACTATCGGAATGCATAAGCTTGGCTCCCTACTCATTCCCGCAAAGATTGACTTCACTGACGTTGTTGTCTTTGACATGTCGGTCATGTACTCACTCGCCTACATCTTTGCCAACCTCCGTCTCGGTCACATCACCTTCGAGGAATCCATGCAGCTACAGGACTTTTGCAGGAACATTGCGAGACACATCACTTTGTTGCCATCAACCGACAGAGTGATACGTGTTGAGATCATACGACTGGTGCCCCCAATCAATCAGTGTATGGAGATGATTGCTTTGAGAGGTAGATTGAACGAGGCAACGACAATCACGACTGAGTATTTGGAGGCACTGGACATTGCTTTGGCATCATTGGATGAAGTACACCAATCACTCTACACACAACACATGATCGATTGTGAAACCTCTCATTTCTATGACAGTGGTGACGCTCTCAGGTATATTATGTTGAAGTTAGGTAATGGTCACTCGCTGGTAGAGAATCAGCGACAAAACCAATCCCAACAGCCATCACGTCCGCTCAGGATAGACTCAATGTTTGATCTCACATCACAGTTTCGTTATTTTTTGCATGCTACTGGCATTGACGCGAGTAACAGCAGCCCAGAAAGCAGCATTGACAGTAGTTACAGCAGTGGAATCGATAGTAGTACAGATAGCACCACCAACTACAATTCTGAAGACATTCTCGACGTTGGCCTCATCACTATTCGACTTGGCCATGAACAAATGGCCATTGAGGACGACACTCACGTCGACTCCCCAGGTTTTGTTGAGTTCCTTACCGACATTGACTATCCCAACCAGATGTCACATCCATCATTTGACTTCCTTTACGATGATGAATAAATATTCTCAACATTTGAGTGTTGATTGTTTGTATAATAACAAATCATTCAATCATACAAATAATAACAAACTAACAACAATGTCATTCTGGGACTACGTAGCAGATCACAACGACTACACACCTGGGGATTCATCAACCACAGCGACAGCCACAACAACAACTATTTCTAAACAATGTGGTTCGTGTCCATCATGTCTCAAGTGTAAACAACCATTAACAGCACCAATAGAAACGAGAGATCACTCAACGAGAGTAGGTTTGTCATTTAACAAGTATAGTTGCAGTAATTGTAACAAGACACAGACGAGATTTCAATCAAAGAAACAGTAGTTTAGCTCATTATTTATCAACAACAAACAACAATGTCATTTCAAGACTTTAGAATTGCACTTGGAGGATTCCTGGGTGTCACCGGTGGTGCAGCCCTGGCTGGTCTAGGAGGTTGGTACCTCTACAACAGTGAGATCGGAAGCATGGATTTCATTCTTGGATCAGTTCTCAGTATTGGTGGAGGCATCGTGCTTATTGACACCATGAGAGCAAAGTACTAGTAATCCTAGTTACAACAACTTTATAACATTTACAATGAATAAATATATACATCATTTATTGATTGTATTCTCCACACACATACATCGCCACACCTTACTCTTCCTGTGGCTTCTTCTTGATGTTGAATTGACGCTTCTTGATGGGACTGATTGTGCAAATGACAGACCTTGAACCAAGCTCGCGGACCTTCACACGGTTCTTCGTGATTGTGACACCAACTTTGTACGTCAAGTTGTTGTAACGCTGGAATCCATCGTCATCCTCTTGGTCTGCATCAGAGTCATCACATTCATTGTCGTCGATATCCTCTCCGTCGTCAATCTTGAGTTGTGAGCATAGACCACTTGGCTTGGAGGCAGCAGCCGCTTCCTTCTCTGCCTCTGCTTGCTGTTTCTTCTTCTGTGCCTTCTTGGCGAACTGGTCTACGTCCAACCTGATGGCTTCATCCTCTCTGTACAGACCAGATTCAGTAGGGATGGATCTGATTGAAAGATCGGCCAACGCGGGATAATTAATGGGGTCGATGCCAGTACCAATAGCTGATGTAATAACACCAAGTTGATCGGGGTGGACACGAAAACTCTCACGATGTTCCGGATGCAGTTGATCGACAATGTTGTTCAGTACCCATAGGACAGCAAAGGTGAATGAGCGAACCTCCTTTGGTGCCTTGGTCAAACAGTTGTCGTGGAACAGTAGAAGAGAGCTGGCAGAGAGATCGACATTGTTGTTCTCATCACTAAACGTCTTGAACAAAGCGAGGAACTGCTTGCCCAATGGAGGTGACTTGATGAACATTGATAGAATGAGACCAAGGAATGTTGAGAAGCCACTGGCAATGATGTCGCTACTAGGTGGGATTCGGACACCCACCACCAAATGAGTCTTGACACCAAGTGGATCGGTGAAGTACTGGAGACCGTCGATTCCCTTTGCTGTCTTTAGCTGTTGATTGGTGACAAGGAATGGCTTGACCTTTCCATAATCCATTGGTCTGTAGACGAATGTCAAGTCATTGGGGGCCGAGTCGGAATCACCATCGGTTGATGTTGATGGCTTGCGTTGCTTCTTGAGATTTGGTCTGGGGTCACCTGTCACTCTCCTCTTCTTCTGTGGGGACTTGTCAACGACGGTCATTGTAGTGTCATCGCCAATCTCCCCTTCCTCATCCTCGACACTCTCGTCCTCGTCGGTTTCGATTGGCTCGACCTTGGGAAGTATGTCACCTCTGGTGATCGTGTATCCCCCATCCTTATTCTGGGTGAAGATAGGGAGTTCTTCTGGAACCGTGTCGGTGATGTTGTTGGTATGGTAGTCCATTGTGTGTAATGATTAAGTATCTGTGTCTATTTATCTATCCAAAGTTATTGGTTGATGATGTGAGAATGAATGATTGATCCACATAACCGGTTACCGTTTAAATAGGGATCGCTCTTTAGATAATTCTAGAAATCCGCTTGGTGATGTTGTCTATGTCAGTCACTGGCGATATTCATATATCTCACTTACTTACTTACTTACTACAGACAACATGGATCCACTCGATGCACTTTCAACAACGAACATTACAACGGACACTAGTGACGCGATCAGACATAGGTTCATGCTAGAGAAGGCCAAGAAGGATGCTAGTGAGAAGCCAAAGAACATACTAAACGCTGCCAGTGATAGTATAGGTCTATCGTCAACATCATCAACACAGCAGAAGAGACCGCGCGCAACTACAAAGAAGAGTCCCGATAATCCTACACCTACTACGACTAATCCTACTACTAGTGTTCCACGCATTCGTAACAAACAATTTGAAAAGGCGCAGCGTAAGTATAATGGATACAAGAGTGCGTTCGGTGACAACAAGTTGAAAGGTCGTGGCATACAGCTAAACCTTCCATCGACAACAACAACTACAGCCGAGTATGAGGAAGAGAACATACGTATAGAGGAGGCATTGTCATGTCAGGATCAGATGGAAACAGCCAAGTCGGTGTGGGTGGCTGTCAATCATGGAATAGAGTCAGTGCACACCTTCGTGCCGTTCTTGAATAACTTTATCCTTGATGGACTTGGACCTGCTAGTAGAGAATCATGGAATGAGGCCAGTGGCCACCTTCAAGAGCTAGCTATTAAGTATGATCTGTTCCGTGTTGGACCAGAGATCAGACTAGTTGCTGCGACCTTGCGTGGTTTCCAACAGGTACACTTGTATAACTTGAGAGCAAGACAAGCAAATGATCCATATGCCTTCCAACCACCACCAACAGATGAAGAGACAAAAAAATCTCAAAACCTCGATTCAAACCCCTCGATCAGATCTAGATTGAATTCAATGAACACATTCATTTAAAATAAGCAATGGACGCACTCAAAGCAATAGGATTCGCTCTCGCTCAAGCAGCAGTGGGCAGTTACCTAGGATATCAATTGGATGACCTCTGCAATCAATGTCTCATACATGGTGTTGCCGCACCAGCACCTAAAACAAACCCTTACGTTGATACAGTTACAACAGAGACACAATACAATAAGACATTGGAATGGCACAAGCAGAGAATCGGTGATGTATCATCAGGTACACTAGCGACAGCCACTTGCCTACAAATAGCTGGGGGTGTGTGCTTGACACTCCTGGTCGGCAATGGTAAGAGTACACTATTTGAAAGTGATCCAATGTTTGGTATACTGTACTATACATCCTTCTTTGCAACACAACAGAAACTACTTGCCAATATGGTTGAACTCAATCAAAGAATGCCAACAATATCAAGTGTATTGTGATGACATTCATTCATTCATTCACACAAGACATAAGTAATAATAATAAATATAATAATAATATCAAATGGCAGATGTACAACCAAACATACCAGAGATAGACCCAAAGATAAAAGAGGTTAATGACAGTATTCTAGCCTTGTTCGACAGGTGGCTAGAGGTTGAAACAGAGATCAATAACCTCAACGTTTATCAAGCTGAAGACATACTTAATGGAATGTTTGTCCAATCCATTACGCACGGGAAGTATCATCCATTTTACAGTCTCCTATTCGAACGAACTACAGGCCCCGATATAAATGGGAGCGGAACTCAGAAGCCACCCGCCACAAAGAAGAAACACATGATTGTAAATAAATAGACTGATTGATATATAACATTTATTACTACTCATTTAAACCGAGAACACTCTCTGAATGTCAGTGCCCTGCTGCTGGATGAATAGGGTTGAGTATGAGTAGAAGTCTAGGTAGTACTCCTCAGTCAGTGGCTCCTTTGTCGTCACCTCAAACATAAGGTTGTTCAAGGCACTCAATGGACAAGAACCTGACTGATTGTGTTGGTTCTGTGGCTCGAGTGACCAACAGTATCCACCAATGTTGAATCTTGATGGACCATTCTCATTCGGTTGGGGTTGAGCCATCTCAAAGAACTGCTTCAACTCCAAATAGTTGTCCTTCATGCTATAGAATGGTGGGTGTACCTCCTTGTTGCCAGAGTGAAGCAATCTTGATGTTGACCAAGGCATGAACTTCTCATAGTTTGGCTGCAATGGATTGTCTACGTCTGATCGTTTCCTAAGATGGAAGAGGTAGTAGTTACTATTGCCCTTGAGGAAAGACACATCGACCTTGTGAATTTGATCACCGACTCTGAGTACTTGCCTCGACTTCTTCTCACAGTGTGTGAATGGGGTAATCACACCACTCTGTGCAGCGATGGCGTAGGCCGTCTCCCTTCGCTCACTGTCTGGTATCTGTACCAAACGTCCACGGATGTAGATGTTCAATGATCTGAGTGTCGCCTGAGTTGGTCCATCGGTCTCAATCCACTGTCRACATGGTCGAAGATTGAACTCGTATCTAAACTCGTTCTGTGTTGCGTTGAGGTAGATTGCATTATGAGTCTGCTTTGAGTGCCATGTGTTTAGCTTCAACACCAATTGCTGCGTACCACTTGCGGCCGCCTGTCTCGCTGCGTCATCATAGTTACCTGAGGCAKAGTCGTCCGTATCTAGGACATGGGCATTCTTTGACAAYAGATGTTGGAGCTTCTCTGCCTCCAAGTCCTTTGTCTCCAACTCCTTGTTACCATTCCAAACCCTGTATCCATCAAACATGTGATGCAGTGGATCTCGTACGAGGCGTGCGTACGTCGAACCAGGTGCACCGATGATGGGGCCAACCTCGACAATMAACTCCATTGTAAACAACTTTGCTGGTTGCTTTGGAATGAGCACCCTCACCGTACCACCAGTTTGGAATGGAATTGCCTCACGTGGGAGGAATGGAGTCTTCTCAAACTTGAAGTCAGGTTGGGTTGACCAGTCATTCACTGCGTGGAATGGGGAGTCCTTTGTTGAAGGATTGATGACCATTGGTGAGATGGAGTTGATGTGAAGTCCCAATAGGGGTTGTGTTGACATGATTGTAGTAATTAATTTGGTGTAATAAGATGCTGTTGCTGATGTAAGTGCGCGTGATTGTTGTCACTCTTGTTTCTATGTGTTCTGTTTGATGTTGTTGTTTGGATGGTAAGGGTATGTTTGTTTAGAAATATAGTAAAGTAGTTTGATTTAGAGGAATTGGAAGTCGTGGTCGAACGATCTTACTGCACTTGGTCCATGTCTGCTTGATCCACTCTGATCTGGTAGGTAGTGGGTAAAGATGGCCTTGTGATCCGCATTGTGATACAGGTTCTTCTGACGTTCGAGTGATCTCGACGTTTCGATGTGATCGTCTCCCCAATAACGTGACATGTTGTCTCTTGCTTGATTCTGTATTCCACCGAGTATGCGGTGCTTGTTGTCACCAAAGACCTCGAATGTCTTGGGAGCAAATTGTGACATCACTTCTGGGTTCTTGTTGTTCTGTATCTGAGTCGCCAACACATCCAGGGGGAAATGATTGTTTACCATCTCCTCCTTCACCTTATCTTGTACTGCTGCATGACCGTATATTGCTTGATAGAGTAGATAACCTGTACCTGCTGCCAATGGTAGCAATGTCAATAGTATGTTGCTGTTCATTATTATTATTATTATTATTTGTTTGGTTGTGTGTAGTTGTTTGTTCTCAATCACATACACACAACTAAAGTTTAGATTTAATTCAAACCCCCCACAACAAAACACCCCAAAAACTTGAAGAACACTAACAAGAGACTCACCATGCCATCATCTGGTCGCCACCCTTATGAACGCAAAAAGATGTTGTTCACACGAGATCTTCCCACCAAGCCAAAGACCCCATTTGAGGTTGAGCGTGATCGACTGCACAACACAGACCCACTTGACTATGTTCACCATGCACAACAACAAGTTAGACTTCAGCAACAAGGTCGTGATCGTGCAGTCATTCAAAGTGATATAGATAGAAAGCTGGAAGAATACAAAAATATACTTCCTCATGATGTAGTTGGAAGGGAACGTGTTCAACATCAGATACTACAATTGACAGATGAACAGAATGCGCCTGACCCAGATCATTTTCAACAGTTCCTCGATGACTTTAATCATTGGTTAGTTGGTCGAGGTAAGGAAGAAGATCACTCAATCACACCATGGGGACGCCAACCACTCACCCGTACTCATCCATCAATCACAACCTATCTCAAGACATTCATAGACAACAGAACAGACTTTATCAATGAGATTGATCGACTAAAGACATTCACACGTATCGACAATGTGACATTGGATACGKCCTATCTCTACTTCAAGTACATTGTTCGTGGTCGCATCGATGATCCATCAACCCTTGGTTACCTTAAGGAATGGGACACCATGTTCACGAAAGTGCGACGAGAAGAACAGGAACTCTATGGTATATCTGATGATGCGGCTGTTACATTGGACTACTTGAACAGTGAGTACAATGCTGCTGGACCACCATCACGAACCTATCAAGCACTGGCTGCCAGTAAGCTCCCCAACATGATGTCAGAGTTCTCTGCTCTACTGAAACAGCGTGACATTGATCGATTTGAACAGAGAGGTGACTCGGGCAATTACCCCGACACAGTTGATGGTAGGAAGGCAGCAGCAGAGTATCATCATAAATGGAAATCTACAATCATCGAGCAACGTATACGTCGTAATCAACTCTTCACTCAACTGTCACAACACCGACAAGAACGCAAGGACATCAACGCACTACTCTCGGACTATGAGGCAGAGGAGTACACACGCGACAGAGACACACTGGAGGGCCTACTAAAGACCCGGGCCACACTCAAGAGTACTCTATCCAATCTGAAGAACCGATTCGAGCGAGTCAAACAGTTGGGTATGTATGAACAGTTCATTTCACCCGTCGATGCCAAGGCAATCCAGGATGAGATTGATGCAAGAGAAGCTGACCATCTTAAGGTCAAATCAATGGTAACTGACCTCGCTTCAAGGTTGGGTCTCGATAACGACGAAAAGAAGTTAGGTCTCAAAACATACAGGATGGAGATCTATCGCAAACACCAACGACAATCAGTGTTGGGTAAGGATGTGGTCGATGCTCAAGGCAAGGATGATTCTTTCCTCAATACGCCACCAAACGTCTCAAAGGTGCTCACCAAGTTCATATTGAGTAGTGCAAGCAATGATCCCCAGGGTGAGCAACAGTTGGTTCTATCAGATGCCGATCGTAAGTTCATCGCCGACACCATACATGAGAAGACTGGGATTGATCCATTCAATCACATCATCCGCCAGTACCACCCACCTGATGATGTGCGCGCACTAATTGATCGACATTTGTTCTCCAACAATCAAGACAGGGTGGAGTGGTTGAACAGGACAACACGAGAATACAAGGARCGCGATACAATGGCCTTAGGTATGACTGTGACAGACGATGATATTAAACAGATGCATGCAACGAGGTCGGCGACAATACTCAACACACTGCAGCGATGGGGAAGAGACCTGTTGGATACAAACAAACGCAATGCCATACCAGTTGAAGACCGACGTCAGTTGGAACTCTACTTCACACAACTCAACATGCAACCAGACAGTGCACGTGGGGATACTGAACCAGACGAACGCACCAAGTCAACACTGGCAAGAGTTGTCGAGAAACATGCGAATGAGCAACGAGTCGAACAACTGAACCATCGACTTGTCCATGATATTGACGACGATGATCATCTTAACCGTGCAGTGGTTGTCAACTCTATCGCCAAGCTTGACAAAGACGTTGGTCGAGTCGACAAGCAATTGGAGCATATCCTGTCTGGTGGAGATCTTGGTAAACTCCCCATCATCGGTGGTGGTGATGGTGTTGTTGCAGAAGATGATGATCCAACCAAGCTCAGAGTTCATGACAAGGAGGTAAGCAAATCATTGGTTGCCTACTGGGAGAAGATAACAAGCGACAGAGATAGAATCATCAAAGAGACATTGGGAGAGAATCAACGAGAGATTAACAAAGTGGACAACCTATCCAAACAGTTCAACAGGATAACATCTAAAGCAAATCTCAAGAGTATTGATATCAACAATGTTGTGATCAAGTTTGATAAGATGCAACAGGAGAAACAGACACTTGTCGATGCTGTCTCTCAGTTTGATCAATCATTCCAACCCGACCAAGTAATCAATCAACTCAAGGAACTGTTCAGTCCATACTCTGATGCATTGGCAACTATTAAACGTAATGGAACAGACGAGTTCATTCAGTGATTGAATAAATGACTATTTCTAGAATTGCCAACAACATCTCACTCTCCTTTCATAGTCTGGATCAGATCAGCGATCAGCACAACAACAACAACATATAGATAATAACAATCATGTCATCACAATACTCGGATATCATTCTAAGAAACGGCTCAACCATCAAGACAGAGACTGGGGAGACTCTGTTTGGAAGTCCCGACGGCTCACCCACATCCATCCCAGTCACATGGACGATTAACACAACGGCAACAGGTGAAAGTCCAACCATCGCCGAAGTGAGTGGTCAAGCAACGAGAATCGGATCGATGGTCTACTGGGACTTTGATATATTTGACATTCCTCCTGGTACTAATTCAACTGTGTTTGGTCATATAAAGACACCTTCAACGATCCCACCAAAGTTCCTTCCAAAGCCTTCCAATCCAAGATGGTTCTTCAGAAACTACTTTGTGCCAGTGGCACCAACTGATACTACAGAGGGACAGATGCTCAGAGTTACATTCTCTGGATTCCGCATGTTCAGTATTGATAACTTCTCTGGTCATGGAACCAAACCATTTGGAAGTATTGCCATACCATGTGTAACATTTGATCAGAACCTAGAAAACAGAGTGTAGATTCATTAAAAAAAAAACAATCTTTCTTTATTTATCATAATACACATTTAATTTACATGCGCTTGTAATATGGCCGGTCTTCAATAATGGCCACCTTGTTATCTCTCATTTGATTGAGGAGACTTTTGAGTACAGCGGCATCGGCCTGGCAAGCTCTGGCCCCATTGGCGTTCCTTGGACATTGTTGGGTGAAGGATTGTCGGTTGGTCCTGTACGCGTTCTCCAGATTGTAGGCGTTCATTGGTCTGAAGTTGGGTGTGAAAATCAGATGACCATCCTTTCCCTTGATGTTGGCTCTGAAGCAACCAAAGTCGGGCGACTTGGTGCTCTGGGCTCCGCCGTATCCTTCAAAACGGAATTCACCACAACGCATGTAGAAGAAAACAGTGTCGTCGATGCTAGAGTTGGTGAAGTAGGCAGGTGTACGAATGTCATTGTCGTCTTTGACTGAAACGCTGTTGAGTGCCAAAGTTCCTTGCCTGAACGAGTCCATCTGTTGACATGCTGCCACACAAGGGTCAGTCGTGGGATCGATGGTGCAGTTGTTGTTGATTGACTGACGGTGTTTGGTGAACTGATCCTCGATGTTGAAGGCTCTGTCATTGTCAGTGCCAGGGGCGAACACCAAGTGACCGCTCCATCCTTGGATCCTTATCTCTTTGCATTGGTAGTCCTTGGAGTTGATGACATCAGTTTGGTTGATCTTGACACCTAGCTTGTTGATGTAGGTACCACAAACCACTGGAAAAGCAATGAAATACACGTTGGGTTTTGGTGGAGGGGGTGGTACAGGAGTTGTTGGCTGATCAATCACCGTGATGCCACTGGCTGGGAACAGACTACCAATGAAACGCAATTCTTCATTGACCTGGTTGCAGGCTTGCTTGATGTTGGGGTCCTCCTCCACGTTCATCTCCAACTTAGAAACGAAAGGACTGGTGTTGGCGACTGAGAAGGGGCAGAAATTCTCACGACGGTCCAGCGCATCAAACAGATAATCCTGGTAGGCGATGGCAATATCCAAAGGAAATTTGGCTTGGAACAATAGGGTGCCATTTCGATCATCTTTGTCCAAAGTGTAGCAGTCGGTAAGACCAGAGCCACCTCCTCCACCAGAAGGAATTGGGTTCGAGGCACCAGAGGTACCAGTCACACCAGAGGTACCAGTCACACCAGGCGCTCCTGGAGCAGGGGGTCCAGATGTTCCAGAACCACCACCAGATCCATTACCTGACGAGGAGGTCTTGTCATTGTTGTTGTTGTTGTTGTTGACTCCGTCAGGCTTGCAAGATGAAGACTTCTTTGTCCTCGTTCTCTTATTTGATTCGGGGTTCTCATCGTCATCCTTCTTCCTCTTCTTGATGGTGGGGTCAAACAAGATCTTATGCTTAATGTCAACTGCGTCTTGGGTGTATGTGTAGTTGGCTCGTTCCACATCTCCATTGATTGGTTCCATGACAAAACCTCCCAGGTTGGTGTGGTGTTGATTCCAATGTTCCTCGATCGATCTTAGGATGTCAACAGGCCAGAAGTTGGGACCATACGATTCGGTGTCAAATCTCGGGTTGAATCCCATCTCCAAATTGATCTCTGTGACATATCTGACGAGTGCTTGTGACTCGAGATCCTTGGCTCTTGGGTTACGAAACATTGGGCGATCCCTTCCATTCTTTCTTCCCGTGTAGGCAATCGCGCCGTCCTCGGCTACCCTCGCTATTGGCAGGTAGGCAATGATGTCTGCTCTACGGTAAGCTGCGACTCTTTCCTCGTCTTCCTTCTTTGTGAGATGATCCTGGATACGGTCGTACATGTCGGTGTCGGAACCCCCAATGGCAATAACGATACACATCTCTCTTAATCCGACTTGTGGTGGAGGATAGGGCACCAATCGACGCTGAAAATACACATAAGTTCCTGAGATATTGGGAAAGTTGTTCATGGTTAACCATCTATTTTTTTTTTTTGGCTCACAAAAAAGTGATCCTTACCTGGTAGAGCAGCATTATCGGGGGAATCCAGTGCACCAGTTGGAACAGAATATCCCCTGAGATTTCTCTTATGTTCAAAAATCTTCCACCTTGACCCAGGAACAGGAGTATAGAAGGCCCCTATGTATTTATGAGTGGCATGAGATATATTCACAGATAATAATATTACTATCAAGAAGAGGAACAATTTAACTCGATGAGACATTATGATGTTGTGATAGATTGATAGAGCTAGGATATTTCACATGTGATAGTTGAATATATATATAATGTTATCGGGTATTCGGCTTAAATTATCCTCGACCAAATATTCTGTATTTACAACGAACATTATTGTAACAAATCCTCTTCAAACATTTATATATTCTCAAATGTTTGATCAGATTTCGATACGATCCCTCAAAGATTCGATTGGTTGGTGATGTGGGTAACTTTTAGTTGAGCGAATAAAACAATCAATCAATTTGTGTTCTGTGCAGAGTGTTTGGTGGTTAATGTGTGTGTTGCTAACTACAATATACTCCTTACTGATTTAGTTTAAACGTATGATATGATTCAATGTGTGTGTGAATAGGGGGTTATAACGAATCATCAATAGTGAAATTAAACACCCACCCAAAGATTACAACATATTTCTTGATAACACCATTAAATACAAATATTTCTTCGACTCACAATAACAAGGATGAGAACACCACTCATTTGTGCACAAATAACTAATCCCACTCAAATCAATGTCAGAATCTAAAGATATATATCCTTGCAGGGTACATAACTGGAATTTTGAAGAAGTTCACCCCTTTCGCTCTGATCTATCACGTTTTGATTCATTCAATGGAAATCCATATGGGGTCCTCCTTCAAGACGATGAATGTACAGAGGCCTGTAAGGAGAACATCTACAAATACTGTAATCAAACGAAGATGTACATGGACATGATAATCGCCATCACCGAGAATGAACGAATCGGTATCCAAAATATATACCCCACTATGGATTGTTTCAAAATTTATTACAGGGGTGCAATGTCTCCAATTGGCATAGAAGAACTTCAACGCTTCATGTCCAAACCGTGGCCAAGATTCAACTTCAACAACGAACCAATATGGGACGAGGTCAACCAAGAAGGAAAGGTCATCAAACCCATCATCCCAGGATACGACGACGAGGACTATGACCCGGTTGTGAGAGATTCTAAACAACAATACACATTCCATCAACAATAAAAGTAGATTCGATAGAACATATTTGTTGCCATTCAGCTCTTATATATATTGGTTTTGCTGCTTGCACAAGTCACATGGCCCGATTCTTAGAATGTTCTTGACCAAATACAAGGCCGATTTGTTAAAGGCACTCCGACCCGAATTGGACAAGATAAGAGCGGATGTAGGCGATCTTGGGCAGCTCAAGGCAAGCACCATTGTCAATCACAGCCACTTCCAGATGGCCAAGACGGTCTTAAATGACAAGTAAGTATGTATGATTGACCTTGGACTTTGACACTTTAACTGACATGGTGGTCACAGATCACAGATGATTGTTCTCGACACTCGAAAAGCACCAATCAGTCTCGATGAGGAGCCCGCTCGTCCTGTCAAGAGGGCCAGAAAAGAAGGGCCCCTCGATCTCAATCAGTCAGACTACACCACTGAGGAGCTGAGTTTCCACAAACTCCAGGAGGTTGTGGAGTATTATGAGCACATCGCGCAAATAATGCGCTTAAAAATAAAGAAGCATCGCATCAAACTAAAACAGCTTGACACGTACCTCCAGAAGCTCCAGAAAAAAAAAAAAAATCACAAAATAAAAAAAGACTCCAGTGATACATCCAAATCGGACGAATAAACAATGAGCAAGAGTATT